AAGACCATAAACTTTTATTATTTCTAGTTAGAAATAAGCTCAATTGGAATAAATTTTAATCTGAAATTAAATATGGGTCACGTTTGTGTGAAGAATGCTGGTATGAGATATAAAACATAACGCACTGTCTGTTAACAGACAATTTGTTAACGGTTCGTTTGTATTTGTAAATCTGACTGTAAAAGAGTCAGTGCCTCACCAGCTGTCAACCTCACCGCACGTCACTGGAATTTTACAATCTGTGGTCAGCACTATTTAGTAGTTTCTATTTTCAACATTCATGCAAATATTTGGCATCATGCTCATTTCAAGATGTTCACTTAGAAGAGTTGCACTGAGGACTCAGCAAGTTATTAATATAACAAAATATATTTTAAACAGTGAATATTCTTTGATACATGCATACAAACAATGAACAGACCTTCAAATTTCAAAATATTTTCATAGTGGCAGCATATTGAAGGAAAAATTGCTCATAGTATTTCATACAATTGTATCTAACTCCTATAAAATGACACTGGCAGCAACAATACATGATGAACTGCGGCAGTGACTGTTAGGCCTAGCCAGCCTGGAAAAACTGAATCTCAAACAAACCTTCCAACTATTGTGACAAAATCGGCATCAATAAAGGTCCACTTTCTGGTACTATCATTAAAACAGAAACACATTGGGAGTGTTTCTAACAATTCACCCAGCAGATTAAAAATTGTGAACTGTAAGACAAAAGCACTTGTTCTTCTGGGATCATCTAATGTGGGCCATGATTAAAAGGATGGCATGCTGGGAGGAGCGGCTTTGGGGACTGGAAAGACCACTTTCTTCCTGAGTGAAAAGGATGGCTGAGGGATCTGCTTCTTTTTACCAGTGGCATCAGACTTCTGGCTTACATCTGCATTCACCTTTGTCAGGATAGACACGAGGTCACACCCCCTGAGAAAAACAGAAGATACACTGAGATGGTGGCCTAAAAAAGCAGCAACTTCTCATTAATTATTCTCTCATTTCAACTGTCATATATAACAGAAGTAATTAAATTAGAGGTGGAGGAAGCATTCAATCATTTACAATACAACACACAAGTAAAAAAAATATTCCATTACAAGCACAAGTTCCGTACTCAGGTGTCAAAAGTAAAAGTACTCTTTATGTAGAAAGAAGAATATAATAATTGATTTAACAGGCATTACTTTAATGTTGTAGCTGGTCAAAGGGGAGCTAATTTAACTACTTCATATACTTTTGGGTAGTTTACTCTACAATAATGTGTCATAAACGTATTATAAAATCCTCATGTGCATGTTTTGTTTGTAAAATATTCATCAGAAGAGTAGCAACAGCTGTCTAATAAAGGCACTGGCACAAAAAGCACAACATTTCCCTCTCAGATATGGTGGAGTGGAGGTATAAAGTAACAATATGAAAATACTTTAATAAGTAGCATGTACCATAATATTGTGCAATATTTGTGTAAATGAACTTAGCTACCGTCCACAGCTGACTAAATTCTGATGCTGAACAATGTGCAATATTTTGTTTTACTAACCATGGCACCATCTGGATGAGGTTTTGGCACAATGACTGAATAAACCAGCTGCCATTCCTCCTCTCTCTATAGGAGACACAATGAGGCACAGTGGACACTGCCTGCAAGAAATCTGCATCAGATGGGATGGACTCGATCGCTACAGCATCACTACAAATATGACTTTCTGCAGGGGCATCAGACTCAATATAGACAGGCTGCTGCTCTTTGGTGCCCTGACAGGCCTGGATGAAAAACAGCTTGGGTTTTTCTGCCAAAGAGTGGCAATTTATTCCATTGAAAAGTTCCTTCAGCTCTGAGAGCTCGACGGTGCGGCCGTCCACACCATACACGCTTCCGTTCTTGCCGTGGCTCAGAATGCAGCAGGCCATACAATCCATCCGACTGTGGTCTCTGCGGCTGAGCCCCTGCAACAGAGACAGCATCTCCTTACTCTCATAGTCGTTGTATATCTCCGTCTCAAAGCCCAGCCAAGTAAATACTTTGTGCAGACAATCTGGAAGACAAACAGGCAAAAATAAATACACACAGTTGTGCAACTGTATGCCCACTTACAGACAGAGCAGGGCTGGCTTGTATTTAAGATTTCCAAAATGAACCAATCACAAGGTTACCTTTATCAGTCGCAGTCCCTTCCCGAATTCTGAGAGACACATTTCTAGATTTGGTAAAGTCATAGTTGTTAATTATCAAGCAGACACCCCTCTTCGCTGAAGTCATGGGATATGCTCCCAAACCCTACAAAGGTGAATCAACAACCAAGATTGGCAAGACAGGAGTCACTGTAATAGCTGTAATAAAACAATGCACTTTTTGTGATAAGGTACAACAACAAATATTAGCTCTAGTCACCACATATAATAAAACACATACCTCACTCGTTGTGCCCGTAGTCTGAAACATCTGTGTCTCAGAGATCATGCTTTCTTGGGATGACTTTTCCAAAGTATCACTTCTCACTATGGGAAAGATGATCACAGCGAAATAGTTTTAGGCAAAAATACAAACATTTTATTTGAAGAATTAAAAGGTCTGTCACGTCTTATCACCTATAGTTTACTACAGAAGGTGTTCATAGTGACCTTGTGAGGAGGCATGTGTGCTTGTTTCAGTGCTTAAACTGTTCAGTCCATGTGACAAGGCCTCACTTTCATCTCCACCATGTACCACATCTGGAAATTTTGGAAAGTGATACCAGAGGATTAAGAGTATAAATCAAGTAACCTGCACCTGGAAAAAAAACTTTCAGCTGTAAAGGAACAAACTAAACAGAACTGACCCACAGAGGTGTTGGTAGAAAACATGGAGCACTGTGTGGGACACAAGGGAAAGCGAAAGTTACCATTAAAGACATAGATATGTCGTAACCACTGACTGTTTAAATGATGGCCCACCCCATGGTGGCTGGTTGCAGTATAGGACATAAATCCCGCTTCCTCCATGTTAGCAAATGGGACATGAGGCACACACAAAATTCTAAGTACCAATCAAATAAATTTTTCCCAAAGGCCACTTCTGTGGTTTTTTTTAGTAGATGTTATACTTGGGGGTTCAGTGTCTTACCCAAGGACACTTCGACATGTGGACTGCAGGCACCAAGAACCGAACCTCCGGTTGGGAGACGACTGCTCTACCCACTGAACCACAGCTGCCCCACATCATGCTGATGTGTGTACAAGTGGTTCAGGGTGATATAAAAAGAGGTGTATTTCGGTTGATTTGACAGCTTTGATTGGTGGTTCGATGCCGTCACTCCACATCTGGTTGCTATGGCACAGAATCTGGCTGCAAAGAAGTAAGTTTGTAGCCGCCGTATTCATGATATTTTGGTTTCACTTTTGCATAGTGGAGGGAAGTGCTGACGTCATGTCCATCGTATATACAGCCAGTGGTCACAACTTGCTTCATCATCATGTAAGTGTGTCTTAATGGCTAAATCCTGACAATTTCTCACCTCAGCCAGTCGCGGTGCTTTAAAAAAGATGGAAATAGAGTGATTAAGATGATAAAATTCTCAAAATTGTTAAAAATACAACATACTGTGTTCACTGCAAGGACAGGGCACATTTACATATAAATCAAACATTTTTAACAATATAACTAGACATGTTTGACAAAAGGAAAAATGACAATATTTAAACAAAGTATGGATCCCATTCGTGCTAATGTCTATTACCTAACCATCTCATAATTATCTATGTACTAACTCTGGGGAAAACACATCATAATCAAAAGAAGGGTTAAGTGGTGGATTTAGATTTGGGCTTTTACACATAAAATGCTTATTTGATTGAGAAATTCACAGCCACTTTTACACCGTGATCGCTGTCATAAAAGAAAAGCACACTGTGGTACATTTACATTAAGACTGCAATATTTCCTCAGCCCGCATACACAACATGAAGCAGTTATGGAAAGATAAGCAGGTGTTCAGAGTGTTCTCTACAAGTAAATAAATGTCACTTTGCCTGGGATTTTGCATGAGGCAGTCCTCTCATCATCTAAAGACTGAGGAGACTGATAAAAACACAGAAAAAGCAGATGTTGCAGCAAATGGCTTTTGTAGAAAGAATGACCTGACACACGAAAGCAGTGTTATAGAATGTACCTGGTACACAGAGCCTGTCTCTTGACCCACAGGGCTGTTCTGTACTACAATAAAAAATGACACAAGTAAACCAACAGTGATGTGATTTGTCATATATTACAATTAGAATTAGCCACTTCCTGTCTGCACATTGTTTAACTTCTGTTCCTGCTCTTTTTTGCTTTAACCTGCTTGCTGTAAACTCTCTGAAAGTAACCCTGATGTATCCAGGATCTGATTTTGAGCTGGTGTAAATTGTTCATATCTTACCCGGCAGTGCTTTGAACTGGGCGATCTTTTCTTTTAGCACAGGACAGACTGATTGGATTATGGCCTCCAGTTCATTTAGATTAGTTTCACTGAGGTGGTCCATGTGCTCCATCTCCAGGAAGACTTCCAATGTAGTCTGAAATGTTTAGTACATTTGTACAAAGCTCAACATCAGATTCTAATAACTTCGAAAATAATTGTTTTTAGATCAATTAAACATAATTTGTATGTTTATCACTGTGGTCTTAGGCTAAACACCATCCAACTCTTCTTTACAAAGAAGGGTTTCAAATATTGACACTGAAGATGCACTCACAGTGTTGTCCTCCAGTCTTCTTCGTGGGAGTGTCGGATTTAACAAGAACTTCACCTTTTTCAAGTCTTCATCAGTGATCTCTTCAGACAGGTTGTAGAGTAGCTTCCTGGAAGAGCAGAAAGTCAAACTGTTATGTGTTGTATTAATGTACAGTATAATCACAGTGAGGTAACAGCTGTTAATATGAATCAACAACATGGCCAAAATTAGCTCAAATGAAGGTCAGTAATATTTAAAGCTTATGAAATTCAGAAATAAGTTCAGAAACAATTTCAAAATCTCTGTCTGTACATTAAAAACCTGTGTGCCTGTGTTCATGTGGGACACAAGTTGCAGTTTACAGTTTCCTGCTGTGAATGTGTACCAAAATGCTCACATAAGCAGGTACTTTGTCTTTGTGCATCACTGTTGATAAAATGTGTGCCCAGATTTTATTTAAATATTCTTTAAACAATCTTTCAACACATTCACAAAACCTAAATCTCACAAGCAACGTGATTTTTTCTACAAAGGATGATATCCTGTACCGCCACAGACTCATACATACCCGGAAATCTGTAGAGGCTCTGATACAGATCCCTAGATTGAGGCATTCCTATATAGCAATAGTGTCTGCAACTACATCATGCTTGATTAATAACCTCAAAGCAGTAAGGTGTAGGCCACCCACCTGTATTCAGAGATGAGGCTCATGGTTGTACATTCACTGAGACCGAGTTCACGGACCAGTCGGTTGCGTTGGATGGTGAGGAGAAGCTCAGTCAGCAGATGTGGTCGCTCAGGTGAGAGATGGTCTTGGTCCACCAGACGAGAGAAAAGGGCACTGGCTGATTCCACTGAGGTGGGATTTCGGCCCAGGAGGTCGGTACAAAGAAATGCTAAAGCCTTGACCTCATCCTTACACAGGGCCTTCTCTACCTTTAACAGCAATCTCTGGAACTCCATTTCCTGTGCTAGAAAAAAGATTCAACATAGACCCTCTCAGATTTGTAGTTTTTATGTTGGGGGGTACAGTGTGTGGTAGACTATGTACCAGTGGTTCTTTCCTCATTTATTTATTTACTTTACGTCTTCAAATTACAGCAGTGAAAATGATCACATCTTAATATGATTTGGTGGTATCCATGGTGATGGTGGATCTTGTGTGGATTCATTTGAGCTTTTAACCAATTTGCAAGCATTTTAGTCCATCATTTTAGTATAGGCTATGTATATGTATGTGTAGGTGTGTTAGAGAGCAAGTCTAGAGGAAAGAATAAAACTGTTTTAGAGCATATTGAAATAACCTCTCATGAAAACACAGGTAATGCCTTGTTGAAGCATACAGGCCTAAACATAACCACAGGAGGCAGCACAACTTTGCAATCACATGATCCCTTCCACAGAAAAAGTTCCCTCACAGAATCCATTTCGATGGTAAAAAAAAAAAAAAGTTTGGTTCGATTAGATTTTCTGTCCGTTTTAATCATCTAACCAGGTGTTCTACTTACTAACGTGTTGCGCGTGTTACCTGTTTGGAGACGAGTTGTGAGCAGGTCAGGAGAAGAAGATGTCGCTTGTCCCCGTCAACATACTCGAAGTAGCCCACTATTGGCAGCAGACTGAATAATAGACCGCTGAACTAGACCCTGTTGATTAAAACCACAAACACTAACTCAACACATCTACAGTTCGCAGGTCGGACACAGTATATGTCAAAACATGTCCATAGAGGAAGTAGAAAGGGAAAGTGAAAGAACCCAGCGCTGTCGGCTCCTATTGGCTGGCGTTGGAGCCAACTTTAGAACTACATGCCCTTTTTTTGGACATCACCTCATAGGTAGAGCATTTACCTCATAGATAGGTCGCGCTAAATCACAGGGTAAAGCCTATAAACTTACCCGTTTTCAGGCTACATAAATCAACCATCATGTCGTAAAAATTGCTTAATCATTTAACTATAGACTTGATTTGAAAAACCACTGGAAGTGTTTAACGTAACCACAAAGCCAGTGGGCTAAAACTCTCCAAAATGACATCTGCATGATATCTATGTGCCAGAATGCAGGAACCACATATTTAGGGTCAAAATAAGTTTTACTTAAACAGTGCTTAAAACGACAAAAGATCATTCTCTCTCTTCTCACTTCTATAATATGATAGTCATTAGAAATGCAGTACTGCCAAACGATATATTCCCCAGGGCAGAGTCACTGGTGTGTATTACATTGTCAAGGATAAACAATTCACAGCCATTTATTGTACATTCTCACAAAAGAGATTCTTTAATAGAAATGTCTATCCTGATAGCAGAAATAAAATTTGAGGGCACATCAAACTGTTCAAATAGAGATTTTAATCAACATTGTGAAACTGTGTGCATTGTGAATTACAGTAAACTACAGGTGAACATGGTGTATTTTTCATGCAGTGTTGCAAGTTAACACATGGGTAAAAAAAAAAAAAGAAAGAAAACAAACTACACACAAAACATTAAAATGAATAACAAGACAACATTTTGGCTTTTTCTTTAGAAAGTGGTTAAGATATAAGCGTCTCCTGATAAAGGAAGTAATGAAGTCAGGAGGCCTCAAGGCTGTCCAGTAGTTTTATTTATCAGGGCACTTTATTGTCAATCATAAAATTTGTCTATGTTCAGGTCAACAAAACTCAGAACTAGTGAGAACCATACTGTCCTACAAAGGCAGAGAGCAGTAACTAACTAAAAG